CTGACTTCGTTCCTGGTCGTGTTATGTCGGCTGCGGCTCAGCGGAAGCGAGACAAGTATGGGGCGCGTTGCAGGGCTATTGGCTATGGTTTTCTTCCTTTCTCCTTTTCTTCATTGGGGGAATTAGAGAAGGATGTCGTTGCGTTGCTGAAGCGGGTTCAGGCGTTCGCTAGGACTCAGGATATTGGAGCTCGTGCGGCTGCTCACATCTTTAACAGGATTGGGTTCGCTATAGCTAGAGGGGTGGGGGCCCAGATTGTATCTCGGCTCCCCACTAATTTCTTATAAATCTTTTGACTTTGTAGGTTTTTGTTATTTAATAATAATAATAATAATAATAATAATAATAATAATATACCAATAGGACCGAACATGTACGTCGTTACAACTTACAACCCAATTGTATAGTTGACATTACAATTTACAAACCAGGGATTGCTGAAATCAGACATCTAAAAGCTAGATTTCATGTGCTTCATTGACCTTTAGAATAATTAATTGATGATCTAAGACTTGTAATTAGTCATAAATGTGCAACAATACATCATTAATCTACAAAAAAATTATATACCTTAAATTTCAAATGAACAAGTAGTAGTACATATGGGATAGGTTGAATTTAAATTGTTTAGTCATCTTGACATGACATATCTATCCTTTAGAAGATACCCCATCCGTTCTTTAAAGTTCGACTCATTTGGCATATGTATGGTCTCCGGTGAACATCTTTAACTATTGATATCTTCAGTTATGTATAAGTGAAAATTATAAAAAGTTGATATTTAAAAATTTTACAATAAGAAATTTTTTTTAAGATCTCACATGCTAATTAATTTCTATTCCGTAGTATATAAATCATAAAATATGATCAAAATTATTTTATTTAGATCACAAAGAATAGCAAATGAATGGAACTTTTATAAATAAAGTTATTACAAGCAAGTTTCTTTTTCTTAAAAAAAATAATAATATGGTTTTATATCGCATTACAAAATCGAGTAGCGTTCTGATGTTTGATTATTATTATTTTTAATAGATTGTTTATTTGTTTAATAAAACTTAGATTTTCCAATTTTATTTTCTTATTTGCAATCCTCAACTTTGTACATATCAATTTCCTTTATTTTAACAAATTGTTCATCCCCATGTTAATTGGCAATGCAAATTGATAACCCTAGTCAAAGTATTTAGTTGGTTGGTGAATTTGAATGAACAACATTATAGTCACACATATTTGGAGGCTCGTTATATTACATTTACAAATAGCTAATTACATGACATACTTTGCAAAATAAATAAATTATCAAAGATGATCAAGTAAACTTTATGATGTTAAAGTGTTGATAACTGAATATTTTGATGTAAGACCTTAACCTAATGGTGACAAAAACCATATCTAACTTTCAAAAGGATATTATTAACTTATTAATTAATGTATACTTTAAATTTAAGTCCAACTTCTTGCCGCCATTTAGTTATCATACTACGTATGTCATTATTTTTAATTGCTTGCAAAATTAAATTGAAAACATTAAGAATCTTCAAATTAAATTGGTTGATCGTGTATACTTTTTCAAGTAATTTAATTTAATTTACGTCATTATTAGTTGCTCGTATACATAAGCTAAGTTCGTACATATCCTATTTAAATTAATCTATGTAACAAAGTGACTAGATCTTGTTAAAAAAAAAAACAGTGACTAGATCTTTTTTGCGATTATTTGCTTAATAAATAGGTTATTTTAAATAAGATATTTTTACTAGGTAGCCATTGTCTTATTGCATAAGATGGATAAACTTTCAATTAAGTCAACAATATGTGGTCATTAAACAAGCAATATTCATTATTATTTATTCCATGAAACTAAGCTATGATAGTATACGGTTTTGTACTTGATTCAAAGTAGTACTTGTAATTTAATTGAAACGAATGACTCATATTACGATATCACTCTATCTCAATCAATAATTTTGCTTTCATTAATCTCCAAAATAATAAGTTATAAAGGTTATATATTATCTTTGATGATTCTTTATTTTATGGGATATCTATGTAGATTTCTCATATAGATGGTGTAGACCGTTTGGTAAATGAACCCGAGGAACTAATTAATATTAAAGCACTAAGGCCCTGTTCACTTAACCTTAAAAAAATAATTTCAGTTCAATAAAACTAATTTCAATTCAGTAAAAATAAGTTTTATTCAACAAAAATAATTTCAGCTCAGCAAAAATCAGTAAACCTAAACAAGAAATACAATAGAAAATCAGTAAAAATAATTTAAGTTTAGTAAAAACAATTTAAGTTCAACAAAAATAATTAAGTTTAGTAAAAATAATTTCAATTCAACAAAAATAAGGTGAAGTGAACGGGACCTAAGTATTGCGTAGGAGGCAAGGGTAATGAGGTAGACAAGATATGATATCTCAATTTATCAATGTCAATCATATCACCTTCTATGACTTTTACCAAATAATTTAGTTGATGACAACCATTGTACTTACTATCTTCTTTCTCGAGCCTTTTGATGTATGTATAAGACTAATCGACATCACTAATACGTACTCCGTAGTAATTTTTTTCATGTACTAGGTATAAGGTTATAGGGTTAAATCCATTAAAACACCACTTAAGCACCTAATTAAGCTGCCCTAATTTAATTTTAGTTTAAATTAGTAAATTCAATTTTAGTACGAAAAGTAACACGAATAGAACATGTACAGCCAAAGAACTGAGATTATACTAGGGCAATTATTGGAACTTTTAAGTCTCATAAAACTAGTTGGGTGTACAATGTTATTGTACTGGCATGATGTATATCTATTGTCAAATAATTAATTAAAACATATACTTCGTACATAATTATTTAATAATAGTTCCATTCACATCTACTTCCTATATGGACTTAGCTCTCTAATTATTAATTGGTTTTTAGTGTAGTGATGATTGGGGCTACACTGTAAGAAAAACTGCATAATTGATGACTCTCCATAACAATTATTGGGAGGGACTAAAACCTAACTATCCAGAACAGATCTTCGAAGTCGAATTAGCCTAGAAGGTGAATCAAGTTGAACACAAAAAAATAAAAACCTAAGCTCTCTAATTTTTAATACAAAATGATTATTACATTGTTCAAACCTTTTTTTTAAAAAAAAAAGAAATTGTTCAAACCTCTAATAATTTACTCATTATATACAACTTTTTTTTTCTTTGAGGAAATGTATGTACAACTTATTATATATACTTAGGTCCTATTCACTTCACCTTAAAAAAATAAAAATCGGTAAAAGCAATTTCAGTTAAGTATAAATAATTTCAGTTCAGCAAAAATAATTTCAGTTCGGTATAAATAATTTCATTTCAGCAAAAATAATTTTAGTTCAATAAAAATAATTGTTTATTAAAAATAATTTAAGTTCAACAATTAAAAATAATTTCAGTTCAATAAAAAAAAAATTCAGTTCAATAAAAAAAAATTCAGTTCAACAAAAATAAGGAGAAGTGAACGGGTTAATACAATGTACTTTTCATAGTAGCTTACAATTCTCACATTTTAATCATTATAAAATTTTACCTCTTGTATGAACTTTTTTTTTTTTTGAAACAACCTCTTGTATGAACTTATTAGACCTAAGTTATATTATTTAATTATTAATTAGATTTAATTTATGTAATATTAAACGAACTAATTAAATCTAAACTTATTTATATACATCCAAAACAAATCTTTTTTCAACTTTAATCATATACATCCTGTTAAACCTTAAATAATTGAAAATAAGACATGGAAAATAAAGTCGTAAATTTAATAGTCTTGAGCATTTACCCCCTGAAGAAATTTTAATCACCTTCGAAATTCTGTATTACCCATTTACCCCCTGAAGAAATTTCTCCTCCTTGATGAAATTGAAAACATTGGAAGAAAATTTGCAAGTTGAAAATTATGTACAGAAATTATTGACCAAGAGTAACGTTTTTTTTATTTTCTTTTTTAATGACATAATGCTCGTATCCTAATTCCTAGGTGATGGTTGAGCTGCTTTTATAATATTCCTAATTATTATTATTCCTAAAACGACTATAAAACTAATGAAAAGCCAAATCTAATTGTTTTGTGCAGGACAATTCATTCTACTCCCTCCGTCTATAATACATGAGACATTGGACCTTTTTCACTATTTATATATTAACTTTGACCATAATTTTTTTACTAACATAATTAAAACATATTTTATCATAAAATATATTGTTAGATAGATATTAATAAAAAATTTCATAATATAATTTTTAAAAATAATTTTTATTAATATTTAATTATACAAAAATAAAGTCAAACTGGTGTATTGACATATATGCAATTTTTCTTGACCCAAACAGAGGGAGTATATTACAACGAACAATTACCAAATTACCAAATGCAAATTAAAAAAAAATACTCATGCAAATTGATGAGTAGTCAAACGTCAAATTGATGTCATAGTCTCCTCAATAAACATTCTAACACATCAAGATTTTTATTTGTAAACTCACAAAATTCAACTATCTAAATTCTATTGTCAATCTATCAAGGAAATGAACTTGGATTTTCTTGTACCGAAACATTAAGATGAAAGATGGATTAGGCAAACAAAATATCGAAGAATACTAATCTTTCTCTAACCATTTTACTTAACTGTCAATCTCCTCCACAAAACTACCTAGTCTCAAATAATGAGTAAGGAACAAATCTATCTATAGTACTATATAAGAGAAAGGGTATCTTGGTTGATAAATTTGACTTTTCCCAAAATGCCCTTCTCCATTTCCAAATTTACTATTTCAATATTTTTTTTTTATAAATTTACCATCCTTAAAAAAAAAAAAAACTACAATCCTAATTTATTTATTTTAAAAAAAACTACAATTATTTTTTTTCATTAACATTTTTTTTTTTCAACAATTTTGTAACCCACTAATTGCACACGCACCCATCGTGTGCGTTTCTTAGCTTGTGTGAATAAAGCCTGAAAACCTAAAACATTACTTCAAATAACATCTACAAAGAGAATCTTTAAAATACACCACTAGGTATCCTTCAAACATGTAGAAAACTATCTATTCCATTCGTAATCCCCCGTTCTTGTGTTTGAGCTGTTGATGCGGTTGCTGTCGTCTGGCTTTATGTTATCGGCAAAGACATTCCAGCCTAAGAGGTATGGCAAGACAAACTGCACATTGAAATAATGGGTTAATAAGACAACTAGAAGATTGATTGGTGAATACATCACTTAGTTCATAAGCTAGGAGGGCAAAGCATCTGAATACTGAATATGCTTGAGATGAGATGAAAGGATCAGAAAAAAGAAACATTGAGATACATCTTACATTGAATGCCGTTACAAGAACTGCAAACTCTGCTTTAGAGATGGGTATATACACATTCTCGTCCAAGTTCAGAAGCTTGTTTTGAACACCTAAATATCAACACAGAATTACAATCTCAAAAATAAATAAATAAATAAAATAAAACAAAACAAATTTATATAGCCATGAACGGAGCTATTAATAACACTTCTCTATTAGAGGGTGTTTGATTCACAACATATTTGTATGAGGTATGGGTTTAGATAGTGTTTGTTTATACCTCAAACCCTCAAAGCTATACAGTTTAGAAATCTAAGAGGGGAGGTGAATATGACTCATTTCATACCATTAGGTATCAAATAAAAGAAATTGTTCATATCCACACAAAACCAAACACATGGCATCAAGAATCAAGTTTCAACCCCACACGGCCACACCACCCTAATTTCATTCTTAATTCAAGCCCATACCACTTTGCAAACCAAATGCCCCCTTAATTTTAAGAGTCTGCCATGGTGAAGCAAAACACAAACTTTGTCTCGTATGCCATAGGAATGGGCAACCTCCAATAACAGGGCATGAGCAATCTAGGAAACAAGTTTCAAGATTCGAAAACATGAATTGCAAAACAGACTGCCATGATTTCCTTCAAAAAAGAATGTATCCTAACTGTGCAAAGTGCTTATAACAAGAAGCTAATTGCAACCCTGGAACTCACGACAAGCTTAAATAATACTTCAGAAGTAGACTAAAATTGTCAGATTAAAAACAACACAAAACATAGAGATGAACTACAAGCCAACATCCTTTATGGTTTGCAGAATCATAATACCATCAACTATGCATACCATATTCCAAGTAGTGAACTTTGGTGCCGCGCAATATGACGTGGCATGCAGAAACTTTTTCCAAATAACAAAAGTTTACATATCACATGGATTTAACAGAAATGAAAGAGAATGAAGGAATGTTGGTTTGGTAACATAGGCTCAAAAGAAAAATTAAAAATTATAAACCAATATGTAAAAATAGTCCAGACACAAAAGAAGATTTGAGTCACAAATTTAAATTCTCAAACGACCTCAAAGGATCTCAGACACTTATCTTAAGATAATTTTTTTTTTTAAAGACATGTATATTAGTAATCTAAACAGACACTGGATACAATTAAGGACAGCTTTAGCAGTTAAGGTGTTAATCACAGCAAAAGTTTTTTCATTAGCAGGCATATGATCTGAAGTAATTTAATGGGACAATTAAACTAACAGATTTCACTTAGCTCATAGTTTTCTTCCCTTCTTTTTAACATAGATAGTAAGAGTTAAAGAATGAATTGAATTTCCACACTGGTACCAAGCTGGACCTTCTAGAAGTGAACCACAATCTTGAAACAATTAAATTGGAGGACTTGCATTCGTCCATTGTGAGATCTAAAAGAACTTTACCATTGCTATAATACCACCTGAAGTAGCTGATAGCTACTGTGTAACCTATGCAAAAAAGGAAGGGCAGTTGGGGAAATTCAGTCTAAATTCTGCAAACATCTTTCGGGGATAAGCACATTCAGTGTGGGATATCTAGGACAGGAAGAAGAAAGGTAGTAAGGAACGTCAGATATCAGTTATTCGTAATAAATAGGGAGAAGAGAGTGATGGAAAGGCATCCAGTAATATACAGTATGTGTTGCTGCGTTGAAAGGAAATGCGTGAGCCTCTCAAATAAAAAATCGTTGCTCTGCTTCCTGTCTATACAAGTACTTCTTTCTGTTCATTTCTGCACAATTTCTCTCTCTAACACTCTGTTTTTCTTTTTTCTCTGCTTACTTTTAGCTCACTTATCTGATCTCTAGCCACACGCCCACACCTAGTATGTATTGGACTGGATGCTCAAACCCAAGAAGATCTAGGGCCAAAAACAGCTAGTCTATCCAGCACTCATCCCAGATGTTATCAAAGCTAAGAATACAAAAGGCATCAATAAGAACAATTACAGTTAGTTACAACCACTGTCATGTCTGCAACATTATTATAATCTGTTATTACCTATTCACCTAATAGATTGTAATAAGGTTTACTTTCTTGTTTCTTCTCTAGTTTGTAGTGATTGTAAATTGTAATAAATAGAGCAGCTTTAGTTCTTTGGAAATTCATTCACATTTTCAAATTAAAAAAAGAAAACATCTCTTGAATTGAAGGAATTCTAGCACTGAAGGATAAAGTGTGTGTATGGTCTAACTAATAATTTTAAATTAACGATGCATCTAGCTAAATAGCCTAGTAGTTTGGCACCTTGAATCTAACAAATACTTCGTCACTCTATATTGAAGTAGTAGTATGTTGGGATCCATAGCCATATTGTGTTTCTATTTTGGAGTTGTGATAGTTTTTCCGGACAATCCAAAATAGTATACATGACTATTAATTTCAGAGAGAGGTATTAGTTAACAACTAAAAAAATGTTCTCTTTCAGGCAATCCCCATGTCAAGTACAAATGATGAAGCAGAGCAATGAATCACAGCAAACAGATAGAATAATAAGAAGTATAAAGCAAAAGGCATTCACTATAGCAGAGAGTTCAAGAGAAGGAGATTACTTAGATTAAAAAAGTAGCCAGAGCCATCTGGAAGGGGCTCTACTTTTAATACCTTCCTTACTTTGCCTTCATCACTGCATTTTAAAAGGGAAAAACATTTAAAGTACACTCTGGATCATTCATAAACATGACAACTTGTTAAAATAAGAAACTTGATACTCAAATGGTGGCTGCTGACACTTGCACATGAAGTTCTTACTTTAGCACAATAAACCAAGCCCTCCTCCATCCTACCCCGCCCCCCCTCTCGTGCGCAAAATAAATGCAAAAAAATAGGGACAAAAATAAATAAAGTCATCATCCAAGCAAGTTAGCTAGCAGCCTAGCACATATAAAGCTGAAAGGAGTTGACTTTGTATACATAATTACATAGCACTATTGCTGCTTAACAAGCATATGGGAACAGCACCATATTGTGTTAAGGGTTTCAGGTTATTCAGAATTTGAGCAAACAAGCTGATAGTTCAAGTACCCAACTGACAAGGTCAGAAAAAGACCAGGAAATTTATGGAATTAAAGGACAGGAGAGGAAGTCATGGAGTTATACCCTTCTTTAAATAATAAATAGAAATTGGATATGTAAGTCTCACCCTATCTCCCCCATTAATGATGCCACATTGGCACATCCCAACACAAACAACAGAACAAGGAAGGTTCCAAAGTCAACAGCATATTTTACTAACCTCAAGCACTATAAATGGTCAACCTAAATATGTTTCGGTAACCCTACTAGAAGTCAAAAACCTCCGAACTATAATCTCTCCAACCACCACTTTACAATTTTCAATATTAACCAAATGCAGCATAATAAAAATGATGAAGATTTAGCATCCTTTAAAAAATAGAGTACCTTTTTCCTTTGTTTGGGTCATGAAAAAATTCACAAGACTCCTTTTCACCAAGGCTCACCAGACTTCCAATTTCAGTCACTGAAAGAGAGAATACCTGGAAGTGCAATACTTTTCAGTATATAGAAACACATCAACTTGACAAACAAAAAGACCATATACATCAGTAAAAAAAGGATATCGTTAATTTTTAAAATAGGCCTTTGCATTAAAGCTCATAAGTTCAAAAGAATAGAAGTTCTTTGCTACATATAGTGATATGGATATGCAATTTAACATTCAAATTCTAGAAGCCACTAGGTAATCTTATATGACCCCCATGCATATGATGGTCCACAAAGTATACTCTAATCGACAATTCGATTAAGTTGCCAAATAATAAGAGCCCTAGATAAGAATGGCATTGTAACATCTCACCTGCTTTCTGCTCCAGTCATACTGACGAACACCGGCAGCAGGAGCAAACTGAAGCAGTACATAACCCTCCCTCGAAACTTTAAATGCGCCTGACTATATATAAAACACTTGAGTTTTGCAATAAAATTCTGTAATTGAATAAATAAAACAATACAACAATGAGAAGAATAAAAATTCATGGCGTAGCATACATCCAATGGCACAAACTCTGGAGATTTCGGCTCCACGGTAAGCGCAGCTTTCCCTTTATATATGGAATGCCCCACAAAAACCTTAGGTGGAAAACCTATAGTTCAACATCAAAATCCCAATTACTAAAATTCAAAATTAAATCTGTAATGTGTTCAATTACCAACTTATTTACAATACTATTAATCAAAAATCAGCATATATGAACAACAAAGCAATAATCACTACCTCAAGATATACCAAGTAAACTACTCAAATTCCAACCAATTGAAGCAAACAACGATTAAATGAAGCAAACATGCAACTATAGAACACAAACCCAGAAAAATTAACGAATTCAGAGACAAATTGAAAGAATACCCATTTACAATTACCGTTGATTACCCAAATTTCAACCAATACTTCCTCAGGAAAACAGTTTAACATTCAATAGGAATCCAAAAACACAATTAGAAAAGAGCCCAGATTTAGAAATTTCACCTGAAGAAGTAGTTGAAGGATTTGGTGAGTAAGAGGGAGAAAATCTAGGAGGAGATTTATCAAAGTATTCTGAAGATTGACGACAATTTACAGAAAGTGAGAGCTTTGATGAGGAAACATGGGATACCCAATTTCTGGGTAGCTTGAATTGGGTAGTATTAGTGATAATGGAGTTATGAGAGGAGAGAGAAAGGTAAGGGAGAGAAGTTGGTCCATGGTTTTGAAACTGAGCTCCAATGGAGAAGTTTGAAGAAGAAGAAGAAGATAGGAGTTGCTGCACCATTTTTTTTTAATTTTTTTTTTTTTAATTTCTGGGTTTCTCGCAAAATCAAAATGTGCTTTTCTTATTTGACTTCACACTACTTGCTCCACAATAGGCTTTTTAGCCTTAGCCCAACAGGGTAACCCAAAGTTTTACAGTAATTCATGTTAAGTAAGGCCGTGTATATGGCGCACCCTGGTGCACCTAGAAGGCTAGAATAGACCTAGAATAGGTAAATTGCGCCTAGAGCTGTCAAAAGCTGATACAATCCGAAATATTGATCCGAACCCTATAATTAACCAAACCCGACCTAAACCGGATTGGCCCAAACTCGTTTTAACCTGTCAAAACCCGAATTTTACCCGACTTGTTCCCAACCCAACCCGAATTTAACTTGACCTATTACTAACCTTACTTGAAATTCAACCCGGTCTGTTACAAACCCGACCCGAAAACAACACGACTTGTTTTTGAATCAACCAGAAATTAACTCGACTTATTATTTTATACATATTTATTATTGCATGTAGATATTGACTAGCTAAATAAAGATATATGCTATAAATATATTGTAATCTACTTGTAAAGTCATAACTTCGTAAGGCTAAAAGCCTAAAACTACTCTATGTTAATATTGAAAGTATTTTTTCTTTACTTGAACCGAACCCGACTTGAAGCCAAGAATGACCCAACTTGAAAATGACCCGACTTGAATATAACCCGCAAATTATTAACTTGAACTGAACCCAACTTAAATTCGAGAATGACCCGACCAGATTATAACTCGCAAATTACAGACCTGAACCAAACCCGACTCAAACCCAAAAACGACCCTAACCCGTGAAAACCCGAATTAAACCCAACCTATTATTCACCCAATCCGAATGTACCCCGATTTATTTTATTAACCCGACCCAACCCCAATAAGATGTATGACCCGACATAACCCAACCCAAACCTGACCCGCGTAGGTACAACATTAATCCGAATTGACCCGACTCGAGTTTACCCGCGTAAGTATATAAAAAGATGATAAGCTTGATATATTTTCCTTAAAAAAAAAAGCTTGATATATTCATATATCTAAACAACTTCTTTTTTGAAAGAGAATTGATAACTTTAAACAAGAGGTGAATTATCAGAAAATCCGAAAAGACTCGAACTTTTCCAATCAAAAAAAAAAAAAAAAAAAAAGGCAAATTTTGTAGAATTAGAATGAACAACAAGGATTTGCATTGGGAAGATAACTTGATTAGAATGACGAACAAAGGATTTGCATTGGGAAGATTGGGATTTATACGATGGAGAATATTTAAAAGATTTATGTTTTAGACTACCACGGTTTGAATTTAAGGAAGACGTGAAAGATTCAGTGAAATTTGTTTCAGGTTGCACGAACAAAATCATCCATACTTGCGCCAAATTCAAGATACCTAATGTATAGTAATCTCTGTCTATTTGATTGTTTATTTGATTTACTCTTTGCTTCTTTGATTAATTATTTGAATTTACCAATTAATTAATTTATCTGTTGATGTTCTTTGATTTAGTGCTACAAATTACTCTTTTTGATTTGCTAGGGTTAACTGTTGATTGTACAAATTTTATGAGAAATTAGGGACACTTGCAACATCAAGTATTAGTATCAATAAGAGTAACACTTGTCAAGTTTATCTCCTTGATAAACAAACGTACTACCCACTCGTATAAGAGTAACAATAAGACACGGCTCTAAAGTAGTAATAATATTAATATTGTTGTAGATTCGAATAATTGAAAACACTCAATTAATATGGAAGGCTGATTTGAATTTGATTTTTCATGAATTTGCAATTGTCCAAGATTCTGAGAAGAATGAAGTTGAGAAGAAGCTACTATGTACCACTTGATAATGAAGCAAGTAATCAGAGTGATGATATGAACAAGAACAAGGATAGTATAGCAAATCAACGTGTACCAAGGTCAAGTGAACATGCCCTAAAAGAGGATTTATTTTTTTTGTTTAAACTGACATGTGTCACCACGTAATTAGTTGAAATTTTTAAAAAATAAAGAGAAACTTAAAAATAAAATAAAAACTGCAGCCCCACCACCGCAACCCCAACTACCACCCATTTCCGGCAACACCCTCCCACCACCCAGCCCAGCCAAGTCCCAGCTGAAACCCCGATGCGCCTAGATCCGCTCCCCATGTCGGCTTTCCCTTTCCGGCGTAACTTCCCCTAAAACCACCACCGAACCCACCAATTTAAAACCACCGTACCCAAAATCCCTAAAAACTAACTTCCTGCCGCATAAAACCCCCGACTGTCCCTTCTCTCGCCATCAGAATGTTAATGTTAGGGGTCGATGGTGGGGAAAGGGACGGTTGGGCGAGAGATAGTTGTTAGGGATTTTGGGTGGTTTTATGGGTGGAGGTTTGGTGGTTTTGGGGGAAGGAGCGCCGGGAAAAGGAGTTGATAGAGGGGTAGGGGGAGCTACCGGCGCGGGGGAGGGGATTTTGGCCGTCATGTGGGTAGGGAAGAGGCATTTGGTCGTAGCGGTGGTGGTGGGGAAGGTGGTTCGTGGGGTGAAGCTGCTGGCATTTTTTTTTTAAAATAAATATTTTTTAAAAACTTTTTTTAAAAAATAACAAATCTCGTGATACCACGTGTCCCAAAACTTGTTATAATAGGATAGTAACCAGTTTGGGCCTCTTTTGAGCAAATACATACCAATCTCAAATTTGGGATTATTTAAACGGAATATGTGAAACTTGAGACTATTTATAGCAATTTTTCCAAAAAGATAATTACGCCTGTTGAACGTATATAAAAAGGATGCCTAAAAAACGTATATAAAAAGGAGATAAACTTAATCTATCTAAATAAATTTTTTTGAGAGATAATTAATAACTTTAAGGCCCTTTTTGGTTGAAGGGATTTGGATAGAAAAGAAAAGAAAGGAAATTGTTTTAATCATATTTCATGTTTGGTGGGAGGAAAGTCTCTTAACATAATTTTATCTTTCCTTTCCTCCCAAAATTGGAGGAATTTGACTGAAAAGATAAAAATAAAAGTAATTTCCTTTCTCTTCCTTTATTTCCTTTCATCAACCAAATATTGAATTCGTTTCCCTTCTTTTCCTTTTTTTTTTTCCCCTTCTCATCCTTTCTCTTCTTTTCCTTTACTAATATAGAACCAAACAGCCTTAACAAGAGGGGAATAATCGAAAAAAGAGAAAAGGCTCGAACTTTTCCAATAAAAAAAAGAACAATAACAGTATAATAGAAAGGCAAATTGAGTCGCCACTTCGCAGAATTAGTTGAAATTTAGGAAGATAACTCGATTAGAATGACGAACAGGGATTTGCATTGGAATGGTTGGGAAGATTGGGAATACGATGGAGAATATTTAAAAGATTTATGTTTTAGACTACCATGGTTTGAATTTAAGGAAGACGTCAAGGATTCAGTGAAATTTGTTTCAGGCTGCACGAACAAGATCATCCATGCTTGCGCCAAGTTCAAGTTACCTAATGTATAGTAATCTCTGTCTCTTTGATTGTTTATTTGATTTACTCTTTGCATCTTTAATTAATTATTTGAATTTACCAATTAATTAATTTATCTGTTAATGTTCTTTGATTTAGTGCTACAAATTACTCTTTTTGATTTGCTAGGGTTGACTGTTGATTGTACCAATTTTATGAGAAATTAGTGACACTTGCAACATCAAGTATTAGTATAGCCTCTAATCGAATAAAATAAGGGGTGTCAAGTTTATCTCCTTGATAAACAAACGTACTACCCACCCGTATAAGAGTAACAATATAACAAGACACCGCTCTAAAGTAGTAATAATATTAATATTGCTTTAGATTCGAATAATTGAAAACACTTAATTAACATAACATGGAAGGCTGATTTGAATTTGATTTTTCTATGAAATTGCAGTTGTCCAAGATTCTGAGGAGAATGAAGTTGAGAAGAAGCTACTATGTACCACTTGATAATGAAGCAAGTAATCAGATTGATGATATGAACAAGAACAAGGATAGTATAGCAAATCAACGTGTACGCGAGTTCGAGTTCAAAATTGGAAAGCATATTGTTTGCTTAACTGTGACCACCAAGGTCAAGAGAGACTAGTGTAGAGTGTAGATGCAAATCAAAGTTACTCAAAGACTAGTGTTTGATTAACAAACAGAACTACTACTTTGTGTGTGTGTGTGTGTGTTTGTAGAGATATAACGGTTGAATATTTGTGCTTCATAAAAATCAAACTTGCATTGTTAGGATTGTTGTACAAATTGGTTGTTTTCTTCGATTAATTCTATAACATGTTTATGATGCAGAGCTTTCTATTTGTCTTCGTTGTATCTAATTTTCTACTTCTTCTTTGAGCAAATAATATTGATTTCCAGGAGCAACAAGTCACATTGGCGCTGAAACTGCCTGTGTGCTCGTGTTGCTCTCGGGATGTGAAATAATCAATGACGAGATATTCCGTCTTCAAAATTTGATAATATGAAACTAGACCTCAGCTAAATAGCCTAGTAGTTTAGCTCCTTGAATCTAACAAATACTTCGTCAGTCTATATTGTAGTAGTGAAATTTTTTCCATGGAGGCGGATGCACAATGCTCCATGCATCCGTTTTTTTCTTTCTAAAAAGGCGGAATGAACATTTAGTTGTTCAGTAACGAACATACAATTATTTTATAAAGAACATATAGTTATTTTATAAAGAACATCACATATAGTTGTATTGTAATGAACATATAGTTGTTTTATAAAGAACATGTAGCTATTTTGTAAAAAAAAAAAAAAAAAAAAAATCAAACTATATGCTCTTTATATATATCTAAAGAACATCCGTAATAATAATAAAGAAATGATAATTAGAGGTGGTCAACTTCAGCCCGACCAGGCCCAGCCCGAAAATAAGGCAGGTTTGGACAAGCCTAAAATCGCATTTTTAGTTAAAAATACAAACCCAACCCGAAAAAAGCCCGAAAAGCCCGCTATATTTTCTGGGTTTGGGGACGAGATATTATATTAAGGCCCGGCCTGATCCGAAATATTGATCACCTATAATGATATTATAATGTAATGAACATTATTTTTATTTTACCACCATAATCTAAAGACAAAATTTAAAGAACATTTCAACATAAACAATTAACATTATGTCACAAATAAAAGTACATTATACTGACAATCAAAGAACATGAAGATAAAGAACAATATTTAACATTTTAATTATAACATGTTGTTTTCACTTTAACTGAATGTTCTTTAAATTTCTAGACAATGTTCTTTACAATTTTATAACATGTTCTTTTCACTTTAACTAAATGTTTTTTGTATTTTTCTTTCAAAAAAAATGTTCTTTATATTTCTATACAATGTTCTTTCCGGATTTTTTTTTTTTTTTTTTTTTGGCAAGGGATGCACCATGTGGATCGTTCATCTGCCTGCAGGAAGCCAGGAACCATGCATTGTTGAATGTTATTGGGATCCACAGCCATATTGTGTTTCTATTTTGGAATTGTGATAGTTTTTAAGGATAATCCAAAATAGTATACATGACTATCAATTTCAGAGAGAGGGATTAGTAAACAACTACAAAATGTTCTCTTTCGATTTCAGGCCATCCCCATGTCAAGTAGAGATCAAAGAAATAGATGAAGCGAAGCAATGAATCTAGGGCTGGCAAAAACTGACCCGACCTGAACCCGATCCGAAAAAAGCGGGTTAGGGTTGAGGTTTCCGACCCGAAAACTTAAATGGGTCGACACGAACCCGAACCCGAAATTAAATGGGTTAGGTTAAGGTTGAAAATCTCAACCCGAAAACGACCCACTTAACCCGAAATAAATTTCAGGTCAAAATCAGGTCGGGTCAACCCGAACCCGACCTGATAACCCGAACTAATTTAAGTAAGAAAAAGAAAAAAAACGTAAAAAGCTTATTAAGCCCAGCCCAAATTCACAAAGAGGCTTCCATATATAAATTCAATACCCTAAATGAACTCATTTCCCCTCATTGAAAATCAGCCGTTTTTCCCCTCACTTCTCTCTCTTTAATTTTCTCTCTCCTCAAAAACTCATTGTTTAATTCGATAGAGGTAGTTCCGTTAAGCCCAACTTTACCATTGTCATTTCCTTGACGGCTTGAATCCTTCACTCCTCCACGAATTCCTCTCCTTCATCAAAGGTATCTTGCTTCTTAATTTATTTTCTGTTTTTTTTTCGTGTTTTTTATATGCTAGTTTTGTTTATTTTCTAATTCTTCTGTTGTTAATTTTATATTTACTTGCTTCCGTTTATTTTAGTTTTTTACATGCTAATTTTCGAGTGTTATTACTAAATTCTGATGTTAAATGTTGTTGATTATGTTATTATACGGTTGTTTTTGCTAATTTTTTATTGTTAATGCTAATTTTTATTGTTAAATGTTGTCTATGTTATGGTGATTCTTGCTAATATTTGTTGTTTACTTTTGTTTATCATGAGCATGCATGTTTTAATTTAGATCTTACTAGTTAGATCTAGATAATATAGTCTGATTTAGAATTGCATGTTTTAATTATGTTAGTGTTGTTTTTCTTTATAGGTTTGGCAGCAAGAAGTAGCCCACCAATGTTCAATTGGAAATGTTGTGGATCAATTTTGAAGCTTGAGGTGGTGAACAAGGATGACAGCCATGACAAATTGACAGTCCCAACATCGCCCGATCTTAATCCAAATGAAATCTTATTGCATCTTCTATTATTTTTTGAAAACTGTAATTTGTGTTATTAAAACTTTATCTTTGGTTTGTAATTAGTGAATTACAATTTTTATTGGTTTATTATCGTTAAGTAGGATTGTTACTTTGTTAGACTAAGCTATTTAATTTTGGTTTGAATTAAAATGTTTAACCTGAACAACTTGTATTTGAAATGAAAAAAAGTTATTCAGGTCAATTTTGGGTTAACCCAAACCTGAATATATCAGGTTTGGGTCGGGTTAATTTCAGGTCAAAGAAACCTGATTTTAACCCAAATAAAAAATCAGGTCAAATAAGGTCAATTTCGGGTTGACCCGAACCTGAAAATATCAGGTTCAGGTTAGGGTTTTCAACCCGAAAAATTAAATGGATCAGGTTCGGGTTGGGGGTAGCTGACCCGAAATTTAGGTGACCCGAACACGAACCCGACTCGACCTGATCCATTTGTCAGCCCTAAATGAATCACAGCAAACACAGAGAGTAATATAATGCACAAAGCAGTCACTATAACAGAGAGTTCAGGAGAAGGAGATTACTTAGATTAAAAAAAGTATCCAAAGACATCTGGAAGGGGCTCTACTTTTAAATCGAAATTCATACATAAAAATTATGAACAAAAAACACGAAGAACTAAATTTACAAAAAAAATCATACATAATAAATCGAAATTGATCGACGCTAACCCACACAAAAAAAAAACAAAAAAAAAATGAAACTAACATAAAAAAAACCTAATTACAAAACAACAAAACAAAACACTAATCTGCATTGACGGTCTCTTTGGGAATAACAACTAATTCCATATTGCAAGAAACAAATTCAATCAAAAAAGTGAAATAAAAGTGAAAAATAATAAATAAAAAAAAAACAGAGGAGAGAGAAAATGAAAATGAAAAAAGAGAGGAAAAGAAAATTATATTGAAAAATTTGATGATAATTTGGATCAAAATTATTATAAGAAAGAAAACAAAAGAGAAAGAATTTGAAAGAAGGAAACAAAAAATTTAAAAAAGGAAACAAAGAGCTGTTTGATTGATTTGAGTTTGGGCTAGTGTTGCACCTATTCTACATGCATGAGGATGCACGTAAGAATATGCCTTACTTCACACTACTTGCTCCACAATAGGCTTTTTAGCCTTAGCCCAAAAGGGTAACCCAAAGTTGTACGGTACTTCATGTTAAGGACGTGTATATGGCACACCTAAAATATACCTAGAATAGGTGGATCACACCTATGGTATGAACATTTAGTATAAAAATATGAACACGTCACAAAAAATAAACATTTAGTTAAAAAAATATCAACATATCACAATATAAAAATATAGATTGAACGGGAAATGAATTCATATTAGCCTACGAATTTGGCGTACTTTGTTGGTCCAAGTAAGCAAGTTAAAGCCCAAAAGAACATAAACTCATGATTTCATGAATACATTATACATACTTCGTATTTTATTTTATTTTTTTTGACATAATACATACTTCGTATGATACAAACCTTGTATTACAAAGATAATACCGGGTAAATGCTTGAATTACATAGCCTTACTATGATTTCAGGCTTCTACAAAATATTTTTACATACATATGATCTTACTTAAGGGTGAGCGTAGCAGGGTACCCTGTAAAAATATCAGGACCCGGAACCGGAACCTGTTGCAACAGGTTCCTAAAAATAGGAACCGGAACCGGAACCTGTTGCAACAGGTTCCTAAGAATTGAGAACCGGAACCGGAACCGGAACCTGCGGTTCCTAAACAGGGTACCCTGTCTGTCAAAGTAAGTTTAATAGTTACTTGATAAATTGTGACAAATTTTTTTTTTTTTTTAAAATAGATGATCACAATAAAAGCTTACAACTTTAGTATAGTACTTCAAATACTTCGTATAACAAACCAACACTAATTGTCTAGAATTTTTAATACCATATAGGTTCCGGTTTCATGTACCCTATAGGGAACCTGTACTAACAGGGTACCCTACAGGTTCTAGATCCAAAATTTTATTACCCGGAACCGGAACCTGTTGCAACAGGTTCCTAATTTTATTACCCGGAACCGAAACCTGATCAACAGGTTCCGGTTTGGAACCTGCAGTTCCGAACAGGTTCCGGTTCCATATCAGGGTACCCTGAATTTTTGCTCACCCCTAATCTTACTACATGGTTGAAAGAAGTAAACTCGCTTTTATACATCTGGTATTACTACTTGCTAGTCTACTACAGACTACAATGTACAATGTGGTGTTTATTAAGTAGCCTCATGAGGCACTTCTTTAAAAGAGCCGAGTAGGATAGATTGTGATTGAGGGCGCAAAGGGCAATACAACGGGTGTAGATGGTGACATGATAGGAGTGGTGTAACATGGTAGACGACACGACATTGGTGTGACTGGAACCTGACTATGAGACATTGGTTGGATTTGAACACCACTACCAAAACCACCTTGTCCAAGTATAGGATTAACTGTTGGATATCCAGTTTGGTTAGTTACTTGAGGCCCCCAAAGCCATGGTCCGGATCCAATTCCATGGAGCATCCTAGGCCATGGCTGCTGCGTCATCATTTGGGTTGCATTTGGAGCTTGAAATTGCCCTTGTTCACTTCTTGATCTTGAAATCGCCTGCAATTTGTAAGTCCAAGTGTTATAAACTCATACTACTTGTAATATCCTTATATGCAACTGTGTATTATCTTATGTGTCATGGCTTTACATACGAAGCAATTGACTAAATTAGTTGACATTCACGTGTATAATAAGTACAAGTGTTATAAACTCATATTTGTAATTAATAATTATAGTTACATGCAATGATGTACTATCTATTATAATGTGTCACATACCAGATAATTGACTAAATTAGTCCAAACTCATGTATATTTATTATGCACCTATTGTGTGTATTTATGGTTGTTTAATCAATTATAGTCAATTGTGGTCTAAAACCAATAATGTGCAAAAAGAGAGATGCAAAGCAAATAAGGTGAATGGCTTTCTAATCCCTTAAAAATGATGTTGGTGAATGGCTTTCTGATCCCAACAGAATCCATGACCACTTTGTTTTTAATTTTAGCTCTCTCTTTTCCTCTATTCCCATCTCTTTACCTGCCAGCCCTTCTTCCTCTAACTCAATCTCCTGCTCTTCCTTACCCTATATCTCTGAAGTTAGGGAGGCTGTTGGGTGCTCTAAAAGCACCTGGAGAGGATGGTTTACATGCCCTTTTCTTTCAACATTTTTGGGATTATGTAAAGGAGGATTGTTTGCAGTTCTTATCCTCCATTTTCTTAAGCAAATCTGTCCTCCCCCCTTTAATAAACAAGACAATCATTTTCTTGATCCCAAAGATTGATAACCCCACCAAAATAACCAGCTTTCGACCAATTAGCCTTGTCAACTCCTGCTACAAATTTCTCTCAAAAATTCTGGTGAATAGAATTAGGCCAAAGATTGACTCATTCATATCCCCCAATCAAAATAGCTTCTTACCAGGGAGAGAGACTGATATAAATTAAACTTCATCATTGCTTCTGAAATCATTCATTCTTTGGAGAAAAAGAAAAAGGGTAGGAAAGGAGAGTGTTTGATTTGAAAATCAATTTGGAGAAGGCTTATGATGATAGAATGGAGTGGCCCTTCATTCGTCACCGCCTTCTCTATTTCAATTTTGATGACCAGGATTCTGTTGACCGTATCATGAGTTGTATCTAATCTGCTTCCTCTTTCATCCTCATAAATGGGAAACTACCCTTTTCTTTTACCTTTTCTTTCACCCCATTGATAAGTGACTTTTATGTCATTTTAGGGTATTTTTATGCTTACTTTCCGGTTTAGTTTCTAATAATTTCCTTTGTTTTATGCTTTATTTTTCTCTTTTTCTTATTTTCCTTATTTGATCTTTATTTTATGTATTTTAGTAGTTTTTAATAGTTTTTAGCTTATTTTCTTAATTTATTTAAATTCTCTTATTTTCTATGTTTATATTTTAAGTTTTTAGTTCTTGTTATATAATAAATTTCTAGCTTCTCTCTTTTTCTTATTTATTTTAGTTTAGCATTTTATTTTACTTCGTTTTATTTTATTATATTTTGTTCTACCCTCGTGTTGGTTTTTGGTTGTAGGTGTGTTCAGGTCGATGCTCAATTTTCATGTTCAAATCAAGTTTGAAATTCCGGATTCGAGTCAAATGTGACAAACAACAAGCTTCCAAGCATCAAGTTGCTGCCACTCTTACCATACACCACTCCATCTCCCTATCCTACACCACACTCCCCTTCTCTCTCAATTCACCCAAAACACTTCCCCTGCTTTCCTCAACAACATCAACACCAACAGCAACAACAACAAACACAACTCCACTAGCCACAAAACTCACAGCCACGCATCCCCAAAATCCCTCACCTCTATTTCAACACTAATCAACCACTGACCAACCCGTAACTCAATTGCTCCCTCACAGCCGCATTTGAGCTGCCACCACAATACACCTCTCCGCCGCAACCAATACACCACCACACAACGCCAACAACAACAGCAGCGACAGCCTCTCCAATTACCAAACCGCGGAATAATCTCCAACGGGAAGCAAAATAATCTCCCTTCTCTAGGCTAATTTCTTAGCTAGGGGAAGGGGATGTTCGCAGTGCGGTTTGTAATTTTTTTCAAACCACACTTTTATAAAAACCGCACCAAACCGCACCGCAAGATGCGGTGCGGTTTGCGATTTAACCGTATTTTATTAAAATTGTAATTATTCTTTTTAAAAAAAAAACTTTTATTTTATATTATAATATTAGTTGATAATTTAAATATTAAACTCTTTTCATTAACCTTTAATTGACTAATAGTAAAAAATTAGCTCATATATTTTAGTTCTTTTATATAATTTTAATGAAAATATAGTATAAAAATTGCAAACCGCATTAAAGTGCGGTTTGCGGTACAGTTTGGTCTCAATAATTTTAGAAACCACACCAAATCGCAAACTGCGGTTTGGTCATTTTAAAAAACCGCACCGCAATTTTCAAACCGCAAATAATTTTCAAACCGCATGCGGTTTGGTGCGGTCTAAACCGCACTCTTTACAGCCCTATTGATATTGGATGAATGATGATGGTTAGATTGAACCCATGCCATAAATTGATGAAAGATATGATTTTTGATAGCTTGAGATAATGATGTTCTCTAGTTTAAATGCATGAAAGTGATTTGAATTAGATTAAGATCATCTCTATTTTAATGATTGCATGAGAATGAGTTGTTAAAGTAGAGTTTTATGGATTGTGCATCTTTAATCTCTTGCTTTGATTGTAACTAATAGGATGCATGGGAATGATCCTAATTAGTAAAGACCTATTTCATTGATTTGCCTAGACTATTGCATGAGAATGAATTGTTTAGGTAGAATCTAGTGTTCTTTGGCATGTTCATCATGATAACCATTGTTGTTCCCCTCTATTTAATCGTGTTTGACACCCTCGTATCCCTAGCATCGTTTTCTCTTGATTTAATCTATTTTATCTTTCTTTGTTTGTAGTTTTAGTGCCTTCAATTTAAAAAATCAACAAAATTATCCTTTCCTCGACTCTTACTTAGTGAATTTGATGTTTAACTTGCATGCTTCCTTTTGGGTTCGACCCCATGCTTACCCCTATACTTGTATTAGGGTAGTCTAGGTTTATAAATGATTAATTTGATAAGGGAAGTAGTTTAACGACCTACCTTACCCCGATCAAATTTTGGCGCCATTGCCGGGGAAGCGGCTTGTTTAAATTTATTTTTGCTATTGTTAGAGTCATTTTATTTGCTTTCCTTTTTTTTATTTTGCTTGTTTAATCCTGTTAGCAGCCGGCCAAGTGTTGTTGTCCAGCCCGCAGGCTGGGACAGCAGCTAGCTGCAGCAACACTTTGATCCAGCTGCTGCTAGTTTCGGTCAGTCACAGCCTAGCCACGTGCAGCAGCCTTGCACGATGGCTGGTGTACCTGCTTCCGGCGCCGATCAGTCACCACCTCAATCCACGGTGGTCCGGCAGCCGACGATGATGCTTGATAGTGGTTCAACGTCTTCCCGTAATTTACTTGGTGATGCGCGACCTTCACGTTTGGTTGAGCAAGAATTGGACGGTGATAATGTTTTTATTAATCCGGAATATTTGAGGGGGAGTTCGTCGGATACTTTGGGTCGTGGTCATCGTGAGAAACGTCCTCCTTCGTGGCATCGGAATTATGTTACTCACGTATCATTACTGAAAATATAGACCCGTCTACATCAACTGTCGTCCCTCCTCAATCACATTCCTCAGGGAAACCTTTCCCTATAGCTTTTTGATGTGTCTATTTTATATAGTAATTTACCACGGTCCCTTGGTCATAATTAGTAGTGTTTTTGGCTCTTTCGAGCCACTTTTATTACTAATTTGTGCTTCCTAGTGTTTTCGTAGTCTTTGTTGAGTTTTGTAGGAAGGTGCGTCTTTGGAGCATTTTCTCGAGTTTTTCGTGAAGCAACTACAGATTTAGAAGTGCACGACCATCTTTGAAGCCCAAGGCCGGTTAGAGTCGTCGAGCCGGTGATTGAGGGCTCAGTAATTGGGATCCCGAGGTATTTGGACCGAGTATTCAAGACGCGAAGAGAAAATCCGGATTGGGCCGAGAAATCAAGCCCTATCGAAGTCCGAGCCTCAAAGTGGAGCAAGCGCCCGATCGTGCGAGCGTCTAGCACGATCGGGCGATGCTGCGGAGAAGGAAGGGCCGCCCGATCGGGCGCGTGTTTTTATATAGCCTGATTAGTTTAGTTTTAATTTTGTTTTAGGAAACGTTTATATACGAGTTTTGTACGGAATTTTGATTATCTTCTTTCTTAGACTTTCTCTCTCTACTTAGGATTTTTCTTTCTCTTAACTCTTCTCTCAGCTCTTGTTCTTAATTATTTCCATTAATACAGATTAGTTGGTAACGATTTCTCTTCTCTTAATCTTAGTTGTTTATTTTATTCCTTTCATCATGAATTATTTTATTGCTTTGATTAGTTTAGTTTTTAATATGTGTGAGTAGTTTTATTTCTAGGGTTGATGGGAATCCATAAATAATATGAAGGGGTAATTTATTGTTGTTAATTATCAATGCTAGATTAATTTCCTATTGATTGATTTAATGCTCTGTGACTAGATTAGGCTTATCTTTTATGCATGAGTTTGACAACATTGATTCGAGATTTGACAGATGAGAATTAATGTTTAGGTCTAGTTTTAATACGCAGATTAATTTATAAATGGTTAAGTCGAGATTCGAGAGATGATTTAATACCGGTAAATTAATTGTGTGATTGTAATACGTAGCGAAAGCCCTTTACAACCTGGTTAATTGATGCATTGATGATTGACTATTTTGATTTTTGGTATTGCATGATAATTTCTTATTGAATTGTTTTAACGCTTTACAATTGCGGCTTGTAAAAGTATAGCAATATTGAATTGATGAATCGAGCAGATGTTAACTTGATATTAAAGACTATTTTGAATAAGAACTTAGATCTAGTAAATTGCGAGAGCCTGTTAGATCTATGTTGATTAATAAATTGCGAGAGCCTGTTAATCATGTTATTTATGCAATGTCAATGATTGATTACTATGTTTTACCCTGGAGTATTATTTATTGGTGAACCTATGCCCTTGATCCTTTTATATATTGTTTTCTCCCTATTCTCATTCTTTGTAGTTTAGTTTCATACTCAAATATAAATATTGGTTACTTCATAATCTAGATTATTTTAGTTAATTAGGAATAGAAAGACTTGTTTCCCTGTGGAGATCGACCCTACTTCTCTATCTACATTAATTAGAGGATTTAGGTATTACTTTTGATTAGGGGATACGACTTTACCCTGTCAAAATTTGGCGCCGTTGCCGGGGAACGAACCCGGGTCACCCGCGTGACAGGCGGGAATACTTACCACTATGCTACAACGACAGGGTAAAGTCGTATCCCCTAATCAAACAATGCCCTCCCAACTCACACTCTCCATCCAACCCCTTTATGTAAACAATGCCCTCCCAACTCACACTCTCGTGTGTATAAAACAATGAACGCTCAATTCTACTAGTCGACTCGAAATATGCCAAATCATAACTTGCATTGATAAACAACACTTTCACATTCATACAATTCTATGCACAAAGGTCGGAAGGTCTTTAAAGCTTGTAATGTAAGGCTAGGGTAAAGGGTAAGATAAATTTGGGAGTATGTGTGAGAAAATCTATGCATTAAGGGCGCCAAATCCTAATAAAACCATGATAAAAAATAAATGATGATTGACAGGTAAAGTCGTATCCCCTAATAAAAAGTAAATACCTAAATCCTCTAACTAAAGTAGATAGGGAAGTAGGGTCGATCTCCACAGGGAAACAAGTCTTTTTACTCCTAATTAATTATTATAATCTAAATAACCAATATTTATGTTTGAGTATGAAACTAAACTACAAAGAATAGGAATAGGGAGAAAACAATATATAAAAGGATCTAGGGCATAGGTTCACAAATAAATAATACTCCAGGGTAAAACATAGTAATCAATCATTGACATTGCATAAATAACATGATTAACAGGCTCTCGCAATTTATTAATCAACATAGATCTAACAGGCTCTCGCAATTTACTAGATCTAAGTTCTTATTGAAAATAGCCTTTAATATCAAGTTAACATCTACTCGATTCATCAATTCAATATTGCTATACTTTTACAAGCCGCAATTGTAAAGCGTTAAAACAATTCAATAAGAAATTATCATGCAATACCAAAAATCAATAATAGTCAATCATCAATGCATCAATTAACCAGGTTGTAAAGGGCTTTCGCTACGTATTACAATCACACAATTAATTTACCGGTATTAAATCTCATCTCTCGAATCTCGACTTAACCATTTATAAATTAACCTGCCTATTGAAACTAGACCTAAACATTAATTCTCATCTCTCGAATCTTGAATCAATATTGACAAACTCATGCATAAAAGATAGGCCTAATCTAGTCACAGAGCATTAAATCAATCAATAGGAAATTAATCTAGCATTGATATTTAACAACAACAAATTACCCCTTCATATTATTTATTAGATCCCCATAAACCCTAGAAATAAAACTACTCACACATATTAAAAACTAAACAAATCAAAGCAATAAAATAAGACATGATTAAAGGAATAGAATAAATAACTAAGATTAAGAGAAGAAGAATCGTTACCAAAATAAATCTGGAATTAAAAGTAGAATTAAGAACAAAGGTTTAGAGAGAGAATTCTAAGAGAATAATTAAGAGAGTAAAGAAAAAAGTAAAAGAGGAGAAGAACAAGAGGTCCTAAAAACGTATTAAGGAGGAGTATTTATACTCCGTACAAAAATCCTAAACTAAAACAAATTAAAACTACGTTAAACATCAACTAATAAAACACGCGCCCGATCGGGTGAGGCACCGCCCGATCGGCCGCGCCTTTTTTTATCATAGTACAAATCTCGCGCCCGGCCGGGCGCGCCTCTGGGCGCCAGCCTCTTTGGCCGAGCGGCTCATTTGGGCTACTATTTGGACTTCGATTGGGCTCCAATTCTTCGGGCCAATCTGGGTTTCCTCTTTGGGTCGTGAATACTCGGTCCAAATGCCCCAATATCACCTATACCGAGCCCTTAATCACCGGTTCGATGGCTCTAACCGGCCATGGGCTATAAACTCTGGTCGTGCTTCTCCAATGTTCGTGATTGCTCCAAAATATCTCGGGAAAATACTCCAAAAGCATAAATCCCTGCAAAAGTCAAACCAAATCTACGAAAACACTAGAAAACACCAATTAGTAATAAAAGTGGCTCTAAAGAGCCAAAAACACTACTAATTACGACCAAGGGACGGGGGTAAAATACTACATAAAATAGACATATCAATGATCATACATCTCCAACAACATAACTAACTCCAACAAAAAACCAAATATACTCCAATCATAATAAATAATCTCAACTCTTACAATTTCACTCATAAGATATAATAATGAAGAAATAGAGTGAATAAACAAACTTTATTTTCCAAACTCGAATTTTTCATCGAGGCTCAAAATTATTTTTCTTTGATCAACCTCCAACTAGAACATTTGAACACTTTTTTTTTCTTTTCTTTTGAAGTTCACTAATTTTTTCAACATATATTTTTTTTCTTTGAACTTCTCTTTTTTTTTTTCTTTTTTTCTTCTTCATAACATCATGCTTTATTTTTTTCAAGAAAATATAATTCTCAAACTCATCAAAAATAAACATGGTCAAAAACAAAATAACTTCTCAAAAGCCCACCCAAATTGTGCAAATAATAAGCGCACTACAAACTCGCTCACCTCACTCACTAATAGCTCCCCCAATCCAAGCTTGGGACTAGTAACCAATGGGGCAAAATAGGCTTGTAATGTGGCTAATAAACAACAAACAGTCAAGGCAACAACATGGGTGGCAAGAAGGGAACAAATGTATCTACAATATCTGGAGGCTACCTAAAAGAACAAATGCCTTCGTCCTCCACAATGTGCATAATAATGAATCATATAAATATTACTAATAGTTGCAAACCAATACTCAAATTCATTGACATACCAGGAATTATGGAACTATCACACATTCCTTACCAAATCAACTAGTCAAGCACTATATTTACAAGCAGTTGGGAAAAATTGACGCGTGTTAAAGTTTCAAGGCAATCAAACATCAAATCATGATCAACTAATTCACAATGCCTATCATCAAATACCAAGAACCAAAATAAATTTCTCAAGTAAGGGGCACAGGGAAGCATAATTTACAATTTATTGGAACGTATTTTTGGATTTTTTTTATTTTTCAATTTTTTTTGTATTTTTCATATATAAGAAAGCAATAAAAACTACACTAGGAAAGAAATAAATAGAGAGAAGAGAAAGAAAGTTACCCTATATACAAGAAATCTCCCCCCAAGCCAAATCACTTGTCATGTTGAATATAATCGTTTTTCTATGAGACACAGGTGTTTTTTGGCAACGATCATTAAGGGAAAGGAACCATCTTCGTTTAAAGAAGCGGTTAAAGACGTCAGTTGGCGTAAGGCAATGCAAGATGAGATTGATGCTCTAGAGTCTAGAGCGTAGTGGCACATGGACCGTTGAGGATCTTCCTCCCGGTAAGAAGGCTATTAGTAGTGGTTGGGTGTATAAAATCAAGTACACCGACAAATCAAAGGTGGAACGTCTCAAAGCTCGTTTAGTGGTTCATGGCAACCGACAGGTTGAAGGTGTTGACTATAATGAGACGTTTTCTCCAGTTGCAAAGATGGCTACGGTACGTGTTTTAATAGCTGTTGTTGTGTCATTGAATTGGGAGTTACATCATATGGATGTCCATAATGCTTTTCTTCATGGTGATTTGGATGAAGAAGTGTATATGCAGTTTCCTCCAAGGTACGGTACTCCGACACCTGGCAAAGTTTGCAGGTTGCGGAAATCTTTATATGGCTTGAGACAAGCCCCGAAACAGTGGTTTTCAAAGTTGTCGAGTGCTCTCCGAGGTTTTGGGTTTAGAAACTCATATGCTGATTACTCCCTATTTAGCTATGTACAGGACAATGTTTCTTTACATGTTCTTGTTTATGTCGATGACTTGATTATTTCATACTCCTCTCATGATGCTATTGTTAGGTTCAAAGCCTATTTATGCAAATGCTTCTATATGAAGGATTTGGGTTTGCTTAAGTAATTCTTAGGCATCAAGGTTGCTCGGAGTCTAGAGGGCATCTTTCTTTCTCAACGAAAGTATGCTCTGGATATTTTGACTAAGGCAGGAATGTTGGATTGTAAACCCATTGATACTCCAATGGACCAGAATCATTGTCTTGCACATGCTTCTGGTGAACCGTTCGCTCAACCGGAACGGTATCGTCGTTTTGTTGGTCGTTTGGTGTATTATCGGTCACTCGACCAGAGTTGAGTTATTCGGTGCATGTTTTGGCACAGTTTTTGAGTGTTCCACAGGTTTCTCATTGGGATGCGGCCATTCGTGTCTTGCGCTACCTTATGGGTAGTTCGGGACAAGGTATTTTGTTGCGACCTACGACGGATTTACGCTTGACGGCGTTTTGTGATAGTGAATGGGCGGCGTGCCCTTTGTCTTGGCGTTCTTTGTCAGGTTATTTTGTTTTCTTAGGTCGTTCTCCTGTTTCTTGGAAGACTAAGAAATAGCCTACAACCGCCACATTTTCCTCTGAAGCCGAATACAGGTCTATGGCTCTCACGTCTCGTGAGTTGAAATGGTTGAAAATGTTGTTGTTTGTTCTTGGTGTTAAGCATTCAAAGCCTATGCAGTTGTTTTGTGATAATCAGTCGGCTTTGCATATTGCTAAGAATCCAGTGTTTCATGAACGTATGAAACATATTGAGGTAGACTGTCATTTTGTTCGTGATGAGTTGATAAGCGGTACTATTTCTATTTCCTATGTTTCGACAGGTCATCAGTTGGCAGACATTCTCACCAAGGCTTTTAGACGTCAAATGTAATACCACGTATTTTTATGTATTTTTATAAAGTATTTAAGCATTAATAAAATGTATTGTCAAGGGCTCAAGTATTTTAATTAAATATTTTAAAGGGTTAAAGTATTTTAAATATAAGGTTTTATAAAAGTAAAATATGTTTTGGGCCAAACGTTTATTAATTATTGGGCAATGTAAATTATTCCTACATACTCTTATTGGAATAACCCATTCCAAAACCCATCACTTAAGCCCTATCCCATAACTCAAACCTACATTTTTATAAGCCCAAATTTTTAGCCCTACACTCTCTACTCTATAAATACCCCATTAGTCCCCAAAAATTTCCCACACAAAAAGGTTAGTCTTATTTTCTTTCTCCTTTGTTTTATTAATTTGTGTAATTATAATTATTGATTTATGGATTTTGATTTTATTGTTTGAAATTAATTTAATTAGTATCATATTGTATTTTGATGATTAAACTTTATAATTTCAGATTTTATAAATGTCATAATTTTCAGATTTTATAAATTTTATAACCCAGGGTTTTTAATTATTGAAAATCATGATTTGAGGGTTTTTATGAACAACTGATTTAGGGCTTTTATGGTAATGATGTTTTGAAATTTTGGTGATTATAACTACTGATTAGTTTAACTTAATTCCATATTATTTTGAACACGTAAATTCATGTTTTAATATTTAGATTTTCGTTCGTTAATATTAATCCCATTTAAATCTCGATCAGGTTCTGAACTTATCCGATTTTAATAAAAAAAAAAAGTAGTGTTTTTCATGTGGAAACAACGTTTTAAGAAAGACGCACTGATTTGGTAGTGAGCACCACTCTCTCGTGGCCAAATTCAGCCTCTAAATATGATTTTCAGGCAGTTTTTGATTTTTTACGAAGTTTTTTTTATCCTTTAAATTCTATCCTTGAGTTTAAAAGGGGTAAGAGATAATTTAATGTTTCTGTGGATAATTTAAGTATAAAGATGTATTTTGATGAAGTTTTAAAGGGTTTTTGATTAGTTTAAAATGCTGGAATTTTATTTAAAGTAGTATAATTGTGATTTTAATAAAAGGGTGTGATTACCTATTAAAAATGAGTTTAATTAGGGGTTTTTAAATAATTTTCAGATTATTTTAAGTAGTCTAAAGTAAATTTAAGTTGCTGGAAATTGTGTATAAAAGGAGAATTAATATAGTATTATTGTCCCTTTACGTAGGAGACTTAATTCGGGAATTGTTGTAGTGTAATCGGCTACTTTAAGGGCTTATTTGAGGTACGTTCGCGTACTTAGAATATTTTGGTGATGTAGTATCATGCTGGGCTTGATTTAAATTAATCTCAAGTAGTATCATGCTAAGATTATGATTGGAAATTGTGGATTATTGATATTGGTGATTAAATTAGAAAGCATGATTTATTTGTGATGGATTATGGAATGGAAAATTATATTTTGGCGTGTTTGTATGAACCACACTTTTATTTATGGCATGTTGGAATGCATATCTAATTAAACTACTTGTTTAATTTGACTTGGAGTAGCGGTTCATATAATTTTTATTGATGCTTTAAGCATGACGAAAGGAGTTATATAAATGTCAATGTATACAAGGAATAAATTATATTTTGGTGTCTTAGTGCGCTTAAGGTGTTTCTAACACCGAGGGATAGGATTTGTGGCACTTTATGCGTTTAAGGTGTCTTTAACACTGAGGTAGAATTAGAAAGGGTTCAACACTAAATATTATGTGGTCACTAATTATTCAAGAATTAAATTGGTATATTTGGTTGATTGAATAATTATTGTTGATTGAATGATTATGGTTTGAGAGTCATCACCAAGTTTAATAATCGGAAATTAACGTAAAGTGAAAGAGATTACGCACCAAAACTCTTAGAACGTATATACCTTGAGTATGAACATATGGGGAGAGTTATGGGGTTTTATATTTAACCATAACTTCTAATGGAGTACAGGACGCTGTACATTCCTTTTTATTATTATTATTATGCGCTGGAGTTCCGCCACCTATGTGTGGTTTTGTGCTGGCACGGTTAGCTCTCGTGTCAGTTAACCTCAATTTATTTGGGGGATCGGAGGTAGAGTTGGAAACCCGTTCGATGCGTGATCATCGCTAAATAAATTATTTAGTGGTCTAGTTGAAAAGTCTTGTTGAATGTTGTGTGTGCTTGTAAACAGGTGCAATGAGGTAAGTGTGTGTTGATAGGTGAAAGCATGTTAGTGTGTTTAAATACGCTTATGTACTCAGCTTTGCTGATTGTGTGTGTTTGTGTGTTTGTTGGCCTTGTCTTTACTTTGGCCCTACGACGACCCATTTTCTAATGGCGAGTAGTGGGGACAAGTAGAGAGGAGGTTCTCAGGTGATGAAGCATATTCATGACTGGGCATGAGTGAAGAGCGAATCATGCTAGTCTCTATAAGTATATGTTGTGTTTAATGCTTTAATTATTTATGATATTATTATCATGCATGACTAACACTAAAATTTTAAAGTTGGTTTGGTTTTAATAAGGGTCTACAATGGTTTCAAGTTGTAGGATGGTTTTATTTTACTTCGTTTGACTTTGGTTTTGACTTTACTTTCGTTGGTTGACTTTTCAAGTTGACTTGTTTTGAATGGTTTTGAAATTAGTCTTTCGATGTGTGTCTTTGATTGTTGCCTTAGTCGTTTTCACAATGGCGGTAATATCTTAGATATTCCTATTTAAAGTTTTAAACAGGGAAAAACAGGTATTTTATAAGAAAGGAATTTCTAGGGTATTACATCAACAATTTGGTTTTCTCTTACGCAAGTTGGGCATTCGTGATCTACATGCTCCAACTTGATGGGGAGTATTAGAGTTGGTTTTGGTGTATTTATGTTAATATTTTATTTATGTTAAGTTTATCGGGTTAGGAGTTTTAGGCTAATTAAGTTTCCTAATGTATTGTGTTAATCCTGGGCACCGTGCCGTGCCGGGCCGCCGCGGGCCGTGCCTGGCGGGCCACGGGCTGGTTCGTGTCGTGCCGGTCGTGCCGGCGGGCCCAGGATTTCGTGCCGTGCCGTGCCGACCATTTTCACAGGCCAGCCCACGGCACGGCACGGCACGGCCCTCGTGCCTGGCGGGCTCGTGCCGTGCCGGCCACGGGCTGGCAGCGGGCTGGTGCAGTTTTCAATTTTTTTTTTTTTTTTTTTTTTTTTTTTTATATGACAACATTATAAATTAATAAGTTTATAATGTATATAAGTTATAAAATTATAATTATAAGTTTATAAGGTTACTTATAAGTTTATAACTTATAAGTTATAAGTTATTAAGTTATGAATTTTATAATTATAATTTGAATATTTATGTTTTATAATTTGTATATTCAATATTTATATTTATATATTTACTTTATACTATTACTTTAAAATTTAATGTTTATGATTTATTAGTAATTGGTATAATTTTATTTTTTTTAATATGAATTTACAAATTGTAACAAAACGGGGAAAAAAGGCAAATTGGATTTTGGATGTGAATAATGCGTACTTTATATTATTATTACTTGAGTTGAGAAAATTGTACAATGATAAAAATCATACAATGATGGTATTAAACAAAAATTGGAAAATGATAAAATTGATATTTTTAAAATCGTACAATATACAATAATTGTCTATTCTTCTTCTCCTTCTTCTTTCTCGTCTTCGTCTTCGTCTTCGTCTTCGCCTTCGCCTTCAAGGTCATCGGCTAGTTGCATAGATTGGGAACTAGCCGAACCCGAACCGGAAGCGGAGGTTCCTTCTTCGTTGTCGTTGTGGTCGTAAGAACGGTCTTGTGAGCGATTTTCCGCATCCAACCAATCTTTGAAACACACGCACATTTCTAGTGTTTCGGGTTTTAGACTTGTTCTTCTATCGTCTAAAACCCTTCCGGATGCGCTGAAAGCTCGTTCGGAGGCGACGGAGGGAACTTGGATAGCAAGAATGTCTCGTGCCATTGCCGCCAAAGTTGGATGCTTCGAGCTTTGTTGTTTCCACCATGCAAGGAGGTCGAGGCTGTTTATCTCATCGTCGTCCATGCCTTTGGTGAAGTCGTAACTCAGGTACATCTGCAACTCCGAGACGTCGCTTTGCGTTCTCCTGATTGATGAATCACCTGAAAACCTTGAAATCAAGTTAGTAGCTTGTGAAAATAAATGTTTGGCCTTCTTACTTACGTTTTTGGATGGTTGGGAAGGCCCTGAGCGAGGAACGGTGCCATATTTGGCTTCATAGACTCTATATAAAGCAAAAAATTGATCCTTCACATTAGTCTTATAGTTTTCTACATCATCGTCAAGAAACATGCATTGAAAGTAAATGTCAACTAACATAAATGTGTTTTCATACTTTTTCCTAGGATCTAATATGGAAGCAAAAATATAAATCAAAGGAATCTCACTATAATATTTACGCCACTTTTTTTCCATTGCTGGAAGATACTGATCATAATCACTTTGATGGCGATGATCAGCGAAAAGTTGGGCGAGTAAGCATGCATTAGAAAGAAAGTTTTGAGCACAAGGATTGTAAACAGTAGAAAAACAATACGTCATGTTATATAATAACTGTAAAAATTGCATATATCTTTCACAGTTTTTCCAATCATCATCATACAAAGCATTTTGTGGAAATTTTTGGTTGTAAAATAATGTTAACGGGCCCTT